GGAGCAACAGAGGGCCTGTGGGGGGGTCAGAAGGGGATTTGGGGGGGTTAAAGGGGTTTGGGGGGGTTAAAGGGGTTTGGGGGGGTTATAGGGGTTTGGGGGGGGTCTCGTGTACCGCTCTGACCACGCCGCCCCGCAGGGAACTACCGGACACAGCTGTGGGACAAACAGTCAGAATCCTTCCTGCCCTCCACGCCGGGGCTGGGGATGCACGTGGAAGTGAAGGACCCCGATGGCAAGGTGTGTATAAAGGGCTGCCATAGGGAAAGGGGGGGTCCGTGGGGGGGCTGGAGGTGATGTACAGCGTTGTTCCCCCCCCATGCAGGTGGTGCTGTCGAGGCAGTACGGCTCTGAGGGCCGCTTCACCTTCACGTCCCACACGCCTGGTGAGCACCAGATCTGCCTGCACTCCAATTCCACCCGCATGGCTCTGTTTGCTGGAGGCAAACTGGTAACCTGGGGAGGGGTCGGGGGGGGGGTGAGCAGCACCCTGAGGTGCTGACAGCTCTGTTTCCCTACAGAGGGTGCACCTGGACATCCAGGTGGGTGAGCACACCAACAATTACCCCGAGATCGCAGCCAAGGACAAACTGACCGAGCTGCAGCTGCGTGCCCGCCAGCTGCTGGACCAGGTGGAGCAGATCCAGAAGGAGCAGAACTACCAACGGGTGGGCACCCTAAAAGCAAGCACTGAACCCCCCCAGCCCCCTTCTGACCCCCCCACAGGCCCTCTGTTGCTCCCCCATCCCAGGGCTCTCCCGTTGCGTTCCCCGCTCCCCAGGCTCTCACTGTGTGCCCCATCCCAGGGGGTCTCTTGTCTGTTTGGGGGTCTTTCCCATTGCATCCCCCCCCTCCAGAAGTCTCTCCCTTCCCCATCCCCGGGGGTCTCACCCACCGCCTTCCCCAACCCCCAGGGGTTTCTCCCCCTCCCCTCCTCACCCCCAGGCCTCTCTCCCATTCTCTCCCATTGCCCCCAAAGCCCCTCCCGGAGCCTCCCACCATTCCTGGGCTCCCTCCCAATGCCTGGGGGTCTCCCCCATCCCCACCAATCCCCCCCTTTTCCCCCAGCCTCTCTCCCATTCCTTACCCCGTTCCCAGGCTCTCTCCCATCGCCCTTCCCACCTCCACACTTCGCTCCCGTTGCCACCCCAGCCCCCACACAGCTCTTCCATTGCCCCCCCCACGCACCCAGGGCCCCCTCCCCATTTGCACCCCCACCCCTGGGCTCTCCCATCACGCACCCCATCTCTGGGGGTCTCTCCCATCGCCCCCTCAGCCCCCAGGCTTTCTCCCATCGCCCCCCCCCGGTCCTGGGGGTCTCTCCATTGCCACCTTGGTGCCCAGGGGTCCCTCCCAGTGCCTCCCAAAGGCTCAGGGCTCTTTCCCCCCCCCCGTGGTCTCCCCCATCGCATGCCCCACTCCCATCTGGCCTCACAGGTGGTGGTGCTCTCCCCCATTGCATCCCCCCACCTCCACAACTCTTCCCCTTTCCTCCCACAGCTCCCCCCCATTCTTTACCAAAGCCCCTGGGCTCTCCCCCATTGTGTGCCCCACAGCCCAGGGCTCTCTCCCCCTTTCCACCCCAGTCCATGGGGGTCTCTCCCATCTCACATCCCATTCTGGGGGGGCTGTGTTTGTCATCTCCCCCCAGGGTCTCTCCCATTGCCTTCCCCAGTGCTCAGTGCTCTCTCCCCTCCCCATCCCCATCACTGGGGGTCTCCCCATTGCCACCTCAGCCCCCAAGGTTTCTCCATGGGCTCCCACCGTTCACAGGGGTCTCTCCCAGTGCCTCCAGCAGCACCCGGGGGTCCTTTCCCATTGCCCCCCCACCTCCAGAAGCCCCCTCCCTTCCCCTCCCGGCCCCTTGGGGTCCCTCACACCCCATACCCCATTCCCAGGGTTCACCCCTATGGCCCCTGTGGTCCCCATGGGCTTCTCCTGTTCCCTTCCCCTCAGCCCAGGGCTCTCTCCCCCTTTCCACCCCAGTCCATGGGGGTCTCTCCCATCTCACATCCCATTCCGGGTGGCTGGGCTGTTTGTCATCCCCCGCCCCCCAGGGTCTCCCCCGTTCCCTTCCCCAATTCTTGGTGCTTTCTCCCCTTCCCCCCCATCATGGGGGTCTCTCCATTGCCACCTCAGCCCCCAGTGTTTCTCCCATTGCCCCCACTGCCCCTCGTGCTCTCTCCCATTGCTCCCACCAGCACCTGGGGGTCTTTCCCGTTGCCCCCCACCCCCAGGGCTCTCTCCCATCACCCTTCCCACCCCCCCGGTTCACTTATCACCACCTCAGGGACGTTTTCCCTTCGTCCCTCCCATTTCAGCACGTATCCCCTTTCCCACTCCATTCTTTTGGCTTCCCTATTGTCCCCCCCACCTCCAGAAGCCCCCTCCCTTCCCCTCCTCACCCCTTGGTGTCTCTCACACCCCACACCTGAGTTCCCCAGGGGCTCCTCCTGTTTCCTTCCCTACATCCCAGGGCTTCTCTCCCCATCTCCCCCCCTCATCCTTAGGCTCTCCCATCGCATCCCCAAACTTTGGGTGGGGGGGGGGGTCTCTCCCACCCCTCATTTCCTCTCCCCCTGAGCCCCGTTTGTCCTGCAGTACCGAGAGGAACGCTTTAGGATGACAAGTGAGAGCACCAACCAACGCGTGCTCTGGTGGTCCATCGCCCAGACCGTCATCCTCATCCTCACCGGCATCTGGCAGATGAGGCACCTCAAAAGTTTCTTCG